TAGCTCAATATATAGGAAATCAAACCAATATATAGAGAGAAATTTAAGGAAGAATAATACTAATAATGTAAAGTAAATTTAATCATGAATTTAGTTTTGAAATTTTTTTCAGAGACTTGCGAAGGTCAACAACCCCGGGATCGAGATTGATACCACTTGGTGTTACAGTATTAAACAGTGCTATCCAATAAGCTTCTTTAATTTTTCTGTTTTTTGTTAGATGTAAAATTTGTCCCTATACCCATCAGTTTAATGTCTTCAAGAGAGTGTCCAGGCATGTTAAAGTGTTTTGCGACCGGAAGTTCTTTGCTTTTTTTTATTGTTGATTTATGGTTATTAAAATGTTCCCGTATAGTTGTATTAGTTTGACCTACATATTGGAAATTGCATTTCCGACATTTTTTTGTAGAGCAGGTTATGGAATTACTGATTTTGAACTGCTTTTGGTTGTCTTTATTGAAAAATATGTTAGTTTCCTGCATGAACTTACAGGTTTGACATCGCTTGCTATAGCAAGGTTGACTTCCACCTGGTGTTGGCTTAAAGTTTACTTTAGCGTGAACTAAGTGTGAATCCAAAGTTTTATTTTTTCTGAAAGAAACGGCAGGAACTTCTGTAAAAATAGATTTTAATTGATCATCAAGTTGAAGAGGTAAAAGTGTTTCTTTAGTATTCAGGGTAGGTTTTTAGTTTTGGGTGATACGTAATAACCAGTGAAACATGAGAGGAATTGGTTTTAGTTAATTGTTTCAAGGCAGATGTACGTCATATATTGTTAGCTTTCTCAACTTGTTGGGTGATAGTGTTTTGTTTATAACCTCTTTCAGTCATAATCTGTTTCAAAGAATTAATGTGACAATCATAGTTCTTACTATCAGAGCATATCTTCTTTAATCTAAGTGCTTGATTGAATGTGATATTGCGTTTGGTGTGTGGAATGTGGCAGCTTCGATTATGTAAGTATTGTGGTTTATCCTTTGGTTTTCAGTACAAATCAGTATGTAGAACACCATCTTTTAATGAATCTTTGTCTCCTACTCCAATGAAAACAAGTCATCAATGTAGCGTCTCCAAAACGTTGGTTTGTCTGTGCAGTTTTCCAAAAGTTTCGTCTCTAAGTCTCCCATAAAAATGTTGGCATAGTTTGGTACCCATAGCTGTGCCTTTTATTTGAATATAGAATTCATTATTAAATTCAAAACTGTTAAGTGTAAGTACTAGTTCAGCTAAGTCTGTAATAATTTGAGTGTTGTGTTTGTCTAGTTTTTGCAGAGAAGATTCTAGGACTTTAGGCTTTTGTCATGGGGAATGTTTGTGTATAGAGAAGAAACATCCATGGTACAGAAAATAGTGTTTGGAGGAAGTTTTCCATTGCTGTTAATGTCAGAGATCATGTTTAGAAAATGTGTTGTGTCTTTAATGTAACAAAGATATTTAAGCTAATTGACTAAGTATATATGTTAGGTTTTTTCAAGTATGAAAGAATAATATGACCTTTTTTAACAGGGCACAAAAGCTATTATTTGGGGTATGCAAGCCAGGGCTGTACAGAGCATGCTAGATTTTGACTTTGTGTGTTCTCGTGTGGAATGGTCAGTTGTTGCCATGGTCTACCCACTTACTGGAGATCATAAACAGAAGTTTTATTGGGGTCATAAGGAAATCCTTATACCTAGTAAGTTATGTTAACAGTTTTATATATATATACTGAATGCATTGCTTACAGAAGATGATGATGATGATAGTATAGAGATTATTTTAGTAGAAATCTTCATTATACATTCTTGTACAGCCTTATATTAACTCTCTCAACACGGGCTCAGTCAATTTAACGGACCATGTGACCTCTTTGTACTCGTTTAAAGTCTTTATAGATTTGATACTACTAACTTTCAATATTATGTGTATATCTTCACGAAATTTGGCAGTCTTTCACATACAAAAAATCATATTTTTAGTGAAGTATTTTTAACAAACTAAAAGATTTGTCCATGAATATATTGAGTATTTATTATGAATAGTCCTTGTGCAAAGTAATTTTCTATGTTAAGAATTAAAAAATTACTTTTACTTCTATACTTTAAAAATACTTACTAAATTTCCTTTTGTTAGTTAATACCCTTAAAAA